GCACTCCAGTCTGGGTGACAGAGTGAGACTCCAACTCAAAAAAAAAAAAGACCAGCCTGGTCAACTTGGTGAGACCTTGTCTCCACAGTAAACCGAAAAATAAGCTGGGCATGGTCGCTTGCACCTGTAGTTCCAGCTACTTGAAAGGCTGAGGCGGAAGGATCCCCTGAGCCCAGCAGGTCAAGACTGCGGTGGTTGTGACCATGCCACTGCACTCCAGCCTGGGCGACAGAGTGAGACTCTGACTCAAAAAAACAAAACCAAAGAGCGAGGGATACTAGAAAGCCAAGCTAAATTTTGTTCTAACTTCAGTCTGGAGGAAAAGAGACTGATGAAGGATGACCAAGTGGAGCCCGAGGAATGCTGACCTGCAAGGCAGGGCCCAGGACTCTGGTCCAGGACTCCTACTGGCCGTGCTGTGACCTGGGGCACTGAGGGGTTAAATGTCACCTGCAGCTGATGACTCCCAGGTCTAGACCAAGCCTGGTCCCCACTGACAATGACATAGGCGAAAATGGCCCCTGCCATCCTGCTTCCCCAAAGATGACACCTGACCCTCCCTACTCTGGTCTCTGGCTTCCCTCTGGGAGAAAGCAGGGGTGGGATTGGCAGGAAGGGGTGAGGCTGGGATGCTCCCTGCCCCTCCTGCCTTCTGAGTGCCCGTGCAGGTCCCACTCCTTTGGGAGGCCTCCCTGACACACTCCTCCTTCAGGGACATGGCCATCTGTCCCTGAACTCCGCAGCAGGTCCTGTGCTCCTTTGTCATGGGTTCCTCTGGAAACAAGCCCCCTACACCAGCCTCACCAGCGTGTGCATCTGTTCCTACTAGGAACCGGATCAAGACAACTGCCTTCCCAAGACTAACCTGCACAGAAGGGAGCTTCTAGCTTTCTCTGTCTGCTTCTCCTTTGTTTAATGTTTCACTGCTCAGGCCAAAACCAAGGAAAGGCACTGCTTCCCCTTCCTGCACTCAACCGCACACACAGGGAAGGTGCCTCCTGCGGTCAGGTGTGCACGCATCCTCTAGAGTCGGTCCCTGCAGAGTTGGCCACTGCTTACACTTCCCGGAGTCATTCTCGGGACTCAAGAAAATACCACATCTAAAGCATACAGGGCAGTGCTGGGTACAGAGAGTGCCTGGTACGTGTTCAGAACTGCCCCGAGTTCACTAAGGGTGGGGCTTTAGGCAGGCACTGAACAAGCGACTGTTTTGGGCATGACTTGCTGAGCGGTTTCCCATGGTTCCTGTGCCATGGTCACAGGTACACTGGGGAGAAAGGAGGACTGCAGAAAATACCAAGGAAAATGATAAAAAAAGAAAAAAAAAAGAAAAAACACCTGTGTCCTACTGCTGGCCTTTGGTGTATTATCAATCACTGCTGTCAGCCTCCTGGAAGTCATGTTCCTGGAAGGAACCACGTGGCCTAAGATTTGGCTTCAGTGAATGTGTGGATAAGATCTGCAAGTCGTTATTGCAAATGAATAGACTGGAATGGAAACCTGCAACTCCTGTGCCCACTGTAATAGCTGTGCCCAGTTGGCTGTTCACGTGGGAATTAAGTGAACAGGAGACTTCGGTTCCCTAGTCTTGAACCACCTTTCAAGTGCTCCACAGTCACGTGGGTGAGTGGCTAACACTGTGAACAGGGCAGATCCAGACCCCTCCTGCCACGGCAGACAGCGCTGCAGGGTGGTGCTGCCCATGGCAGTGAGAGACAACAGCAAGCTCCTTGAGTGTGCTCAGTCTCACTTCTCTGTGCACACGGAGTTGCCACATGCCTGTAAGCACACTGATCCCCACTCCGCGACCATTCTTTCCGTTGCAAGGTTATGAAGTTTGGGCTCTGAAGGCACACCCACAGTAACCTAGCCCCTCCACTTCACACATTATCTGGAAAAGCACCCTGGATACGATGAGCACACACTGACACCATCCCAGGCTGGTGCTCCACTTCCTCCTCCCCGGCCCCCAGGAGATGCGCAGATGAGCAGGCCAGGCAGTGAACCACAGCTGGGAGTGCAGAGGGAGGATGCCGAGGTTGCACCAGAAGAGCCCCGGCAGGCACAGTCTGCCCCAGGAGCTCACAGTCATGGAAGACGAGGCAGATGACACGCAGTGCACTCAGGTAGATGGTTTCTCGTCTACATTGAGGCTTTCTCCTTTCAGGAACTGCCTCTATGCCATCTGTCTACGTGCTTCTGCGTCAGGTGGTCTGGGCCAGCCCGAGCCCCTGTTCAGGGACTGGTGCTCCCCAGTGGGTCTAGATGGAACCAGTGGAGGGTGGGAGCCAGGAGGGCAGGTGGAGTGGGGGTGGAGAGCCTGGGCGACCCCCTCAGGGGATGACTGTATGTGCTGTCAGCTCTGCCAGGTCTCTTAGCCAGAAACTTGAGGAGCTAAATCTGTTTTCAATGTCTTCTGTAGCTACGTGACTTTCCTCCCTGAAATGGCTTGCGATGATGATGTTTTTTAAAAAGATGGTTCACACCCTCAAAACACACATATACAAGGAACAGGTGCCAAAGCTTGAGCCAGGCACAAGGTTGACAAAGCAATGAAAGATGTGACAAAGTCCAGAAGGGCCTAGAAATGGCTCTCATGCAAGCTCCCAGGAAACTGAGCAGAAACGTGCAGTTCTTTTAAAACCTAATTCCAAACAGAAGGCTGGAGAGGAAACCGCTGGGGTGCCTGAGGAGCGGGGAGAACAGTGGGCCTGCAGGCACTGATACCCCACACCTCTCGGAGGGCAAGGCCTGCAGGGCCCGGGCCACCCACCCGAGTGCTGACGGGCCAGAAGCTGTTTATTCACATGTGGCCACGTGGGACACTGGTTATGGAGGCCAGCAGGCAGCTGGTCTTCACAGCAGCAAGCTTAGCATCTTGACAGGAGTAGCTCCAAGCACCCACACGGAGCACTGGGCTCCTTTGCCGGTCGCATGCCCTGGAGTTCTCTCCTCTTCACACCCTCTGCTCGTTAGGCCACCGAAAGGCAGAGTGAGCATTCTTCATTCCTCTGCCTGCCTCGTGCCTGTGGGCGGCAATGTGGGGCAGGGCCTCTGAAGGCTAACAGAGGCGGGACTGTGTCCAGTCTCTTGAGGCACCCAAAATACTTCTTTGATAATAAAATGGTAAAACCAGGGAGCCGTCATCAGGCTGTTTTTTGTTTTACTGAAATCAACACAAAGGACTAAGCAAGGAAAGAAAAAGGCTCAGAATAAAAGTCTTTCCTAAGATATTAAACATTATACTAAATATATTAAGGGATATATTTAAAGACTTTAAGAGTGGAAAAATTACAACAGACTATTTTAATTTAATGTATGTAATTTTCTCTCATGACAAATGTATCAATTTGTAATCTAAAAAGCAATTAAGGCCGGGTGTGGTGGCTCACCTGAGTGCTGATGAGCCAGGAGCTCATCCTGGCCCATCACTTTGGGAGGCTATAATCCCAGTACTTTGAGAGGCTGAGGCGAAAGGACTGCCTGAATCCACAGGTTTGAGACCAGCCTGGGCAACTTGGTGAGACCTCATCTCTAGAGTAAATCAAAAAAATTAGCCGGGCATGGTGGTGTGTACCTGTAGTTCCAGCTACTTGGAAGGATCACCTGAGCCCAGCAGGTTGAGGCTGTGGTGACCGTGAGCATGCCATTGCACTCCACCCTGGGCAACTGAGACTCCAACTCAAAAAAAATTAAATGCCCAAAAGTGTGGTACTTTCTTTTTAATCTTAGTCATTGGCAAAAAAACAAACAAACACACTTTACATAGATATGTTGAAAAACAATTTCATTTCATCTGAATGTTTGAGGTAAACTAAACAGAGAACAGGAGAATAAGCACCTTCACTACAGCCCAGTGTTGGTCCTCAAAGCCAGGGGTGACAAAAACCTGGGAGCACCCAGGGTCCATAGCTTGTGGACTGGAGTTTGGGAACCTCAGCACTCAATCACTGATCCCTGAGCAGATGTGTGGGTCCAACCCTCCCAGGGGACATTTTTAGAGGTATAGACCTGGTGCCAGCTTACTAGGGAAGCTCCCTGGGAAGCCTGAGATCCACTGCTCTGGGTCATAGTTTTCTAAAGGGGCTTTGGAGCCTAGGGGCGTCCCTGTAACCCTAAAGCTGCAGGGCGAAAATGGGGGCACTTGTGCTCACATTAACTTTTGCCCTGTGGACACCCAGCAATGTGTATCTAAATGTACCTCTTACAAATGGAACCTACTCCAGGTAGTTACACAACAAGATTGCATGTAATCCCAGCATAGTGTGTCTGAGTAATCTGATTGAAACATGCCAGAGCCCTGGCAACTTCGTTGTGTCTAGTCTTGCAGTGACCTCATAGCCTTCACCACACCCCACACAGACCAGCCAGTCCTCCTCTTCTGCTACACGGCTCATTACCACCAAACCTCCAGACCAAAATAGTAAGTAAATGACCTAGAGATAGCTGGTTCGTTACTGTAGCATTTTTCTCTCAAAGAATAAAAGCAGTCTATATGACAAATTCTGTTGACTTGCCATCTAATTAAAATTAGGTTTTAAAACACTTAAAAACCACAAACATATTAAAGCTTGTAAATACTGTAATAGATGCCAGGGATCCTGAAGTCAAACCGAATAAGGAAACAGGAAATAAGAGAAGCTCAAACACAAAGGGTGCCGACTAAACAAAACAAACAAGACCCATTAGTACAGAGAAATTCAAAGGGAGAGCTGGTAACCCTGAGATAATCTAACTAGTTAGGAGGAAACAATGGAAAAACAACACTGGATTGTTCTTTCACTCATATAATCATTCACAGCAAAAAAAAAAAAAAAAAAGTATTACAAGCTGGGAGCAGTGGCTCCTATAATCCTAGATATTTGGGAGGTTGAGGCAAGAGGATCCCTTGAGCCCAAGAGTTCAAGGCTGTAGTAAGCTATGATCGTGCCACTGTACTCCAGTCTGGGTGACAGAGCAAGACTTTGTCTCTAAAAAATACATTTAAAAAAATGAATTCAGTCTACCGTGTACTGAAATGGACAGAGGGGGACAGCCTATATTTCTGCCACCTAAGTCCTTAGAAACCTGAAACAGACAATTACAATGATCCATGCCCAGAAATCCAGTCACTAGTACCTCACTTTTAGGAATGCAACAACTTTAAGCAATTTTACATAAGGAAAAGAGATACCCCTTGTATCTGAGGTAGTCATTTTCAAAATCTGTTCTGGGTCGGGCTCGGTGGCTCAGCCTGTCATCCCAGCACTTTGGGAAGCCAAGGCGAGTGAACTGCCTGAGCCCGTGGGTTCGAGACCAGCCCAGGCAAATTGGTGAGACCTCGTCTCTATAATTAAAAAAAAAAAATTAGCCAGGCATGGTAGCACGTGCCTATAGTTCCAGCTACTTGGAAGGCTGAGGCAGAAGGATGGCTGGAGCCCAGCAGGTTGACGCTGGGGTGGCCGTGAGTGTGCCAGTGCATTCCAGCCTGGGCAACGGAGTGAGACTCCAACTCAAAAAACAAAACAAAACAAAAAAACGAGGCCAGGCTTGGTGGCTCAGTCTGTAATCCCAGCACTTTGGGAGCCCGAGGTGAGTGGACTGCCTGAGCCTGCGGGTTCGAGACCCGCCTGGGCAACTTGGCGAGACCTCATCTCTACAATAAATAAAAAAATTAGCCGGGCACGGTAGTCTGCGCCTGTAGTTCCAGCTACTTGGAAGGCTGAGGCGGAAGGATCACTGGAGCCCAACAGGTCGAGGCTGCGGTGGCCGGGAGCGTGCCACTACCCTCCAGCCTGGGCAGCAGAGTGAGACGCCAACTCAAAAACAAACAAACAAACAAAAAACAAAAAAACCAAACCAAAACAACAAAATCCATTATGCAGAACTCCAGGAGCGACGGAGGAGGCTCTGAGCACCCCAGAGCCAAAGAAGAGGTCATGATCTGGGGGGTCTACGGCTCCCTTGGAACTTGATGCAAAATGCTGTGTAAATCATTTTCCTGAGGAAAAGATGAATAGCTTGCATCACGCTTCTGTTCTAGAGAAGGGAGTGGCGCCCTCATAAAGGCCTTCTGCGAAGGAGAGCTCTGGTGCCCACCTGTGCCAGTTACCCTGCAATAGGCTCTGGCCTGGGGAGGGGACAGGTGTCACAAGGTACTGGGGGTGGACTGGGGACCCCACACAGCTGCTATGCCTTTGGCATCCCACCCTCCTGGGAAGATCGCTCAGCAGCTGAGAAGGTATACAGGCTGCCAGGGATCATCATTTATTACTCAGGACTTCTCGGGTGGGTCACACCTATACTGGATCCCTCCAGAGACAATAAATGGCTTAATACTAAGGTACAGAGAGCTTTTCCTGCACTTGTGTTGTAAAAAGTAGAAGCTTTTGAATATTTGTTAGGTGATATGATGGTTGTCAAGACAACAGTAAAGGTGGACATGACAGCCCCCACCTGTGGTCCCAGCACTTTGGGAGGCTGAAGCGAGCGGACTGCCTGAGCCTGCGAGTTTGAGATCAGCCTGGGCAACACAGTAAAACCTTGTCTCTACAAAAAATTTAAAAATTAGCCAGGTGTGGTGGCGCACACCTGTAATCCCAGCTATTTAGGAGACTGAGGTAGAAGAATCCCCTGAGACTAGGAGGTCAGGCTGCCATGAGTCATGTACTCCAGCCTGGGCGACAGAGTGGGAGCCTCACTCAAAAAAGAAAAACAAAAAGCAGTAAAAAGAATGAAAACAAGGGTCCATTTGCTTACCAGGTAATCAGAGGGCCAGGGGTCAGCCTATGCATCTTAGAGTTTCACATCTGCCCCATCAGCAAATGGCAGCGTGCTCCCCACCCACCCACAGGTCCGCCTTCTCTACGAGAGTGGTGAGTGTTACTAGGGGTGCTTTCTGGAGGAGTACCCGTACCTGTGTGAAGGAAACCTTTTCCGTAACTCAGAAATAATTAAATCCTCTACAAGGTGATCAGTCTCTGTCACAAGATCTGCAGCTGATGTTTTTGTAGAGACGCGTTTTTCCTCAGTAAGGGCTTTTCTGATGATCTGAAATAAAAGTACAGAAGCTGGATTAAACTTGCAAGCATCCCCCTCCCCAGAAAAATGAAGTCTCCACTCCTTGGAGGCCGCCTCTGAATTCAGCCTGTGGAGAGAGAGGTCAGTGGGCAGGGGTCTGTGGGCCGCTTCCATCACTGACAGACCTTGGGGCTTAATGTCACAGCCACGACTCCGTGGGTTTCCAGTGAGCCTTAGTTACCAAACCATTTGTCTTTTTATAAGACAGACTCACTGTCTGAAGTTATTTTATCCTACCTGTGAAACTAATTTCCTTTGGAGGAAAAGAAAACCTCGGTGGTTTTAAAGAGCGTGAAATTCTATCTATAGAAACTGCCAGCCAGGCTCGGTGGCTCAGCCTGTCATCCCAGCACTTTGGGAGGCCGAGCTGAGTGGATTGCCTGAGACCGTGGGCTCGAAACCTGCCTGGGCAACTTGGTGAGACCTCATCTCTATAATAAATAAAAAATTAGCTGGGCGTGATAGCACACGCCTGTAGTTCTGGCCACGTGGAAGGCTGAGGCAGAAGGATTGCTGGAGCCCAGCAGGTCGACGCTGGGGTGGCCATGAGCATGCCACTGCACTCCAGCCAGGGCGACAGTGAGACTCCAACTCAAAAAAAAAAAAGAAAAAAGAAACTGCCCCAAATAAAATGACATCACAAACTTTTTCTTCATATAATCCCATGAATTTGAATTTAAGAGATTTTGGTATAAAAACTTCTTTTCCTGAACTCACTTTACATGTCACATGAAATGAGATATGCCTTCGAATGCAGATTCCAAATGTTCACACCGAGGAGCCTGGGAGAGCTAGAATGTGCTTCAGGAACCAAGGTCGCTCTCACCCCTGCTCCAGGTCAGGCAGCATCTGCTGTCTCCATGGCCCCAGCAAGGGGCGGAGCATGTTCATGGAGCCCGCAAGCAAGTTCTGGCTTGCAGCTGTTTGAGCTGCCAGTGCATGGGTCTAAACTCACCATGGGGCTGGGCGTGGTGGCTCATGCCTGTAACCCCAGCTCTTTGTGGGGCAAAAGGATTGCCTTAGCCCAGGGGTTTGAGACCAGCCTGGGCAACTTGACGAAACCTCATCTCTACAGTAAATCAAAAAATTAGCCGGGCATGGTAGCACACACCTGTGGTTCCAGCTACCGGGAAGGCTGAGGTGGAAGGATCACCTGAGCCTAGCTGGTTGAGGCTGCGGTAGCTGTGAGCTGGGGGACAGGGAGGGACTCTAACTCAGAAACAAACAAACAAAACTCATCATGAGCTGGGGCTCAGTGGCTCAGCCTGTAATCTTAGCACTTTGGGAGGCTGAGGTGAGTGGATTGCCTGAACCCGCGGGTTCGAGACCCACCTGGGCAACTTGGCGAGAACTCATCTCTATAATAAATCAAAAATTAACCAGGCGTGGTAGCGCGTGCCTATAGTTCCAGCTACTTGGAAGGCTGAGGCAGAAGGATCACCAGAGCCCAGCAGGTCGAGGCTGTGGTAGCTGGGAGCATGCCACTGCACTCCAGTCTGGGTGACAGAGTGAGACTCCGACTCAAATAAAAAACCTCATCATGGCCAGACACAGGGACAAGGACAGGGCAGCACCAGGGCCCCAGCACCTCTCACCTAGCCTGCTGCAGATCCAGGAACCCCGGGAGGCCCAAGCAGGAGAGGATGGAGAGTGGCTAATCAGCTACTGGACACTGCAGGAAGGACCCATCCTAATGTGCGAAATAAAAAGCCACCTCCACTCCCAGCCTCGCCTTTCTCCTCCATTTCTGTCTGTCATAACAACTTGAAGCCTCTCTTAACACGAGGGCAAAGTCAGAGCATGTCCAAAACTGGCTACCACCCCAAGGTCCCGTGCTGGTTTCCAAAGTACCATCAACTGCCCAGCTACCCAGACTTGTCACCTTACCCATCGTGATGCTTACTCTGTAAGCATTAATAAACATGTCCCAGGTGCCATCTCCTGTCAGGCCCTGTGCTGCCTGTGACACGCGGATGGAACTCTAGAGAAGGGGTAGGTGCCACAGACACCCAACATCCCTCCCAGCTCCTTATGGCAGGCCTTCTCGCCCTCTCACTGCTCCCAGCCCCATGCTGGCCCATCCCATACTGAGCCAAGGCAGTTTTTGTTTTGATCTTGGTTGCAGAAATAGCAGATGCATATTATAGAAAATTTGGAGTGTAGCAGATCATACAAAAAACAAAGCATAATGCAGTCACACACCGCTATTAACCACAGGACTTCCTATTCCTATGCTAGCCTCCTGCCACCCGGGGCCTAACTCTGTCCAGTGTTTGCCACATCCTGCTCATCAGTGCCAGGTTAATTTCCGTAAACACCAATTTGCACATAGGAACCTCTCACCAAACGAAGCTCCACAGATCCCTTGTTTGTGAATTCCACACTCTTCAACACGTAGCTCATGGAGCACCTGCCTGTCCTCCAGGAACCCTACATTGTGAGAAAGGTCATTTGGTACTGTGCTTCCATCTCGCACGGTGACGGGGACTTGGGGGGGTGTCTCCTTGGGTGTGTGTGTATCAGTGTGGTGTGGGAGTACAGGGGCATATATGTGTCTTTGTGTGTCTCTCTGGGTATGTGTGATCAGTGGGATGTGGGGGTACAGGGGTGTGTGTCTCTGGGTGTATATTGGTGAGGTGTGGGGGTACAGGGGTGTGTATGTGTTCTCGTGTGTCTCTCTGGGTGTGTGTGTAATGGTGTGGTGGTATGGGGTGTGTATGTATCGGTATGGTGTGAGGGTACAGGGGTGTGTATGTGCCTTTGTGTGTATCTCTGGGCATGTGTGTGTGTACCGGTGTGGTGTGGGGGTCTGGGGTGTGTATATGTACAGAGAGACGGGGCAGATACAACACCAGAAAGAATATGGCTGCAGAACTTCTGAGGCTTTGTGGAAAAGAGGTTGGGGTTGCACAGATCTGAAGTGGGGGTCTTCGATGTGCATTTCTGGAAGGCTCTGCATGGTGACCCCGGTGCCAGGGAGCACACGCGAGTGGCATGGCGCTAGAGCAGGCTCTCAAACCCTGGCGTGAAAAGGGCCGCCAGGAGGCCAGGATATTCCGACATGGCAGGCGGAGATGGGTGTGGGCGCCGCACTCTGAACGGCACCTCTGTCACCGGGGTGTCCCAGGACGTCCACCCTAGGACACGGCTGGAAAGAACACACTTGAGTATCCCCGCACGGGAACCCGTCCTGAAACCACAGCCATGTACTCCAGCTCTCTCTCGCAGCCTCTGTGCCGAAGCTGGATTGAGAATTTGTAGACATGAATCACATCAGATCCCTTATTGTGGAAAACGGTGTGACAGACCCCTTCTACTCACAGAGCTGACCCGAGTCCCACAGGGCCAGCCCATTCCAACCTCTCCTCCCACAGGTCAGCCCAGGTCACCCTGTTTTCTCTGTGTTGTCGACTACATCTCTCCTCACGGGGGCACAAGCTCCCAGAGGGCAGAGCTCTTCCTCCGGGTTTCCCTGTCATACCCCTAGCATACAGAATCATCCCTGGCAGACGGCAGGTGCACAGGGCTCTTAATGAATAAAGCCGACACTGGACTGCTTGAGTAGGTTCTGCAACATTTTTCCAACTGGACCACACGTCTTTGTGTGACTACTGACCACCTGGGACTTTTGTTCTGCTTGGCTGTTTTCCTGGTTGCCCTACCAAAAAGTTCCAGTGTGTAGGCCGGGCTCGGTGGCTCAGCCTGTCATCCCAGCACTTTGGGAGGCCGAGGCGAGTGGATCGACTGAGCCCGCGGGTTCGAGACCAGCCTGGACAACTTGGTGAGACCTTGTCTCTACAATAAATCAAAAACTAACCGGGCGCAGTAGTGCATGCCTATAGTTCTGGCTACTTGGAAGACTGAGGCAGAAGGATTGCCAGAGCCCAGTGGGTCGACACTGGGGTGGCTGTGAGTGTGCCAATGCACTCCAGCCTAGGCGCCGGAGTGAGACTCCAACTCAAAAAAAAAAAAAAGGTTCCAGTGTGTTCAAAGTCTGCCATCCTCCAGGCTCCACCCATGAGTCCCCTCCTCCTGGAACCAGACCAAATCTGCTCCATGTACTCAGGCCCACTCTCTCCACCACAGCCAGAGCGCTTCTCCCAGCAGAAAGCACTAGACAGCACCCTGCTTCTATGAGGACAAAGTAAAAACCCCCAAAGGGGGCACACAATCACTTCCAGATTTGCCCCTGTAGCAGAGACCATCTGACCCCAAATGCCCCGTCTCCCCTTCCTCCTTTCAGGAACACAACTCCCAAGTTTCAACAAGCACAGAGCCACCTCAGTTCACGTTGCCCTGCCTCCCAAGCAGCAAGGTGTGGCTGGGGCACCAAGTTCTGCCCCAAAGGATGGGCACGGAAGCAAGACCTGAAACTTCTGAGTCACGTCCTCAAAAGGACACTGCCTTCCACTTCCTCATGTCCATCTGCCCCTGCCACAGGCCGTGATGTAGGCGTGGTACTGACAGACCAGCTCTGCCTGTACAGGAGAACGCCTCAGAACGATGTGGGAGAAGGAACCTGGGTCCCTGGGTGACTTCATGGAGCAGAGCTACCCTGCCCCTCCAGAGCTCTCACTGACTGGTTCTCCATGTGCTTCTGTGATTGGCCTCTGCGAAGGAAGCCAAACGCACAGCCTACCAGCCATGGGCCTTTCCTGACCAACTCCTTTCTCACCTCTACCTCCCCTCCACTTTCCATGACTGCTATGCTCCAGCCAAGCAGAATTGCTCACCCTGGAGTCTCGGACAGAACCGTCGCTGCCAGCCTTGGCCTGGCCCACTGTCCTCTCTCACGACTGAGTTCAAATGTCACCTGCCACGTGAGGAGTCTCCACTCCACAGGCAGCGAGGGACACTCACCCTGACTGTGACTGCGGCACCCACACACACCATACCCTGGGCTCCCACTCCACACATGGCCCAGGAGTCCCTCATTCTACTCCCGGTTAACAAATGCCATCCTGTTTCCGCCTCCCACGCAGCCTGGGCAGAGACTGCCACAAGGGGTCTCCATGAACACCTGCTGAGCGGATGGCAGCTGTATGCTGAGCTCAAGGTCAACTAAATTGTAGGTGTTTTAACAAATGCTCTTGCGGAGCCGTATCTACCTTCGCCTGTATTTATGTGTTCAGTTTTCCAGATCCAAAACAAACACCATGATGTGGGGGGAAAGTGGCGCTGCAGGCACGTGGCAGTTTCAGGAAAGTCTGCTCAATCTGGGCGTGCTTGCCAGGGAAGCAGGGCCCTCGCCACGAACACAAGGCAAGGGAGATGTGTGCAACGCAGGCAGGATGCCATGTGTGGTGCCACGTTCTTTTTAAAAGGTCATTTATTTCTGCTTTTATTAATATTTATCATGATTGCTGAGACACCTTTCTCTGTGGATGCACATGGCAAGGAAGGCCATGAGGCTTGAATGCCCTGTACCCTCAAACGGCAGGGCAGGTGCCGCTCCGGCCAGCCTCTCCCACTCTGCCGCTCTCCACCAGGCCTGGCCTCATCCTCCAGCCACAGTCTTGCATCCAGCGTGCCAGACCCTCCACACCCAGCCTGCACAGCATTCCCCATGCCAGTCTCAAGCCCCCTCAGGTGTCTCCTTCCTGCCTCTCTGCATCTTTGGACACAATGTCCCTTGTGCCCACAATGATGTCTCTGGCCACTTCCTGCCCACCGGTCCTCTTGGCCTGTCCACTCCAGCACAGCTCCTCTGGGAAGCCATCTGTGTGGCCATCCGCCTACCACCTGGGTTGAGGCCCCTTCTGTTGGGTCACCTACTGCACAGTCCCTGGTATTTGGTCACTGCCAGGCCACTGTCCTGTCCCTTCCATTTGACCGCATGCTTCTCCAGGGCAGGAACTCTGACTTTTATCTTGGTAGCTACAAGACCACCCTGGCCCCCTAACACAGACAAGGGGACCACCATAATGGGGATTTACCAGATGCACCTGGGGGATTTCCACTCATGGGGCTGCTATGCAGATTCGCTTTCTTTCAGTCACCAACAAATACTTCCGAAACCCTGTACAATAGTTCTTCATGAAGCCTCAGTTTCCTCATCTGTAATAACAGCAATTATCTAAGGCATGGGGTTGTTTTAAGAATTAAGTGAAGTTGGGCTCGGTGGCTCAGCCTGTAATCCCGCGCCTTGGGAGGCTGAGGTGAGTGGATTGCCTGAGACCCGCCCAGGCAACTTGGCGAGACCTCATCTCTACAATAAATCAAAAAATTAGCCGGGTATGGTAGCGTGCACATGTAGTTCCAGCTACTTGGAAGGCTGAGGCGGAAGGATCGCCGGAGCCCAGCAGGTCGAGGCTGCTGTGGCAAGGAGCGGCCACTGCACTCCAGTCTGGGTGACAGAGTGAGACTTCAACTAAAAAAAAAAAAAAAGAATTAAGTGAAGAATTGCCTGAAAAGATCTTGGTACACACAGAGTTTCGCTACTCTAGTTTCCGTGAGAGCACGTATGCTACAAAATTTAATGACTTGACCAAAAAAGAAAGAAAGAACCTAACAAACACACACAATGTACAAGTCTCAAAACAGGATGCTAAAATACTAGGCTAAGAAAACTTTAACTCACAAATTTTCCTACACTGAGAGAGAAAAGGTAATAACAGAATGTTTTCAATCAAGTTGCCATACTTCTAAAGTAAATAAGTGTTAGACTCACACAGCCCTGCCCTTCAGCCATAACTGTATCCACCAGGGTACATCCCGGGGGTTGTCAGTAAAGTACAAGCTGAAAGCCCTTCACCACAGCTATTTCCTTCAGACTCAGACATTGTAAACATTCTCATTCTACCAGCAGTAAGTTAGACTATGCTGTTTTAAATTAATGCTTTTCAGCTACTCACTAACTAAGCATGCACTTCACACACCTCCCGGGTGTCTCCCTCCAAATAACATTCTATTAATGTTTAACATATAAAATATGGGCCTTAAGCCACTGAAGCCTGAACTTCAAATCTAAAAGAAAGGTACACCATCAGCTCCAGCATCAGAGACATCCAAGATTGACATAGTCACAGACACGTCCAAATGTCTTTTTCTTGTCTTACATTGCCTAGGTTTTTCCCCGCACAATCTTTACAGTCCTCACTATGGAACAATCTGTGTGTGCTCCGGAATCTGGACTCTGCATGATCACATATGAAGCAGTAGCCCCAAAGGTCTCTGCCAGAAGTGGGGTTTTCACTAGGCAATGTGTCTTTTCCCTTTGCCGGATCAGGAAGATGTGGTTACTGGAGGCACGGTTGACAACACGTCCCGTGTTTCAGGTTCTAGACTTATTTCAATACAAGTAAAGGTAGTGTGGTGGTTATACTTTATGTGTCAACTTGCTATGGGGTGCCCAATTATTCGATCAAACACTCTTCTGGGTGTTTCTGCAAGGGTATTAGCAT